AAGTCCTTATTTCTGCAAAAAAAAAAAACAAAAAAAAAAACTACCGGCAGCGTATCTTTCGACGCTGTAGGCGCACATGCCTCAGGCCCTGGTTACACTACGCGCCATCAGCGCATTTTGCACTGCACGTGTTTTTGGGACTAGTGCGGCGGGAGGGAGGGCCTTTTAGGGCGGGAGGACAGGTGAAGCTCAACAGGGCCAAGTCCCACTAGCAGCGTTGAGCTACCTCAACGCCTGAATCGGGACGCGTTTACGGAGATGTGCAGAAATGGTGTTGAGTTTCCTGAACTGCACGTCTCCTCGAACACGTCCATATTCAGGCGTTGAGGTTTGCTCAACGCTGCTAGTGGAACATGGCCCGGGGGTGGGTTGGGTGGTTCTTTCCTAGGAAGGAAAGCGCGGGGAGAGCGCCTGTACATCTTCCCCCCGCCTCTTTGGGACATCCATCCGTTAGAATTGGTCCGAAAAATGCACAAAACGACAAGGAAAGGAATGTCATGTTCCCCCCGCCCATCGAGGGTGAAAAATGAATAATCCAGGGTAGTGGGATCTGGCCCTTATTATATCCTAACCCGCCAAATCCGCGCCCTGTGATCGGCCAAAGCAGGAAAGCGCGGCAAAAAGGGCACAAGGACCGACGGAATGACGAGTTTGGTCCAATTCCGTTAGGTTGGTGGGTGTGAAATAATGGCAAGCCCAAACTGGGGTGGGAAGGGATGGGATTGGGAGGGGGTTGGGAGGGATGGGATTGGGAGGGGGGGGGAAAGGGGGAGAAGGGGGGGGGGGGGGGGAGTTCGAATGTTGGCGGATGTCGAGTGGTCCGACCAGGCCCTCTGTATCTCAGCCTACAGCGTTGAAAGATACGCTGCCGTGGTTCTTTTTCCGTTTTCTTTTTTATTTTATTTTTATTTTTATTTTTTAATTTAAATTACTCCATTCTATTGGTGGGGAGCTGCACCTACTGGACTTTTTTTTTTCTTTTGCTCGACTGAGGAAGTCCCACTTTTTTTCCTTTTTTTATTTTTGAAGTGAGGTGAGAGAAGTATATATATATATTCTATTTGACGATATATATATATATTGTCAAACAGTATATATCTAAGCTATATATACAGCTTACACTGTCTACCTATATACTATAGAAAAAAAAAAAAAAACTACTCCTATATACCGGGGACCCCTGCAAGCATTAATGTCTCCTTTGCGCATCTAGGGGTATCTAACGACATACCCGAAGTTTTAGGGGTACCTAGCGAAATAGCCCAAGTTTTAGGGGTATTTCAACAATATCCCAATCAACATACAAGAAAACAAAGAAAAAAGAACCTGAGCAGCTATTTTAACGGCTGCGATCTCCTGCACGGACGCCTGTGCCTCTTTTCCCTTTTTTCTTTTTGGTCCCAATCCAGGTCCCAGTTGGGACGCCTACTCTGCCGCCGACGCTGACGCTGACCCCGACGTTGACGCTGACGCTGACGCTGACGCCTATCCCGTCCCACCTGTTTGCTGTGGCAGGGCTGGGTCTCAGGGCCCAGTTGCACCGCTGGCCGTTCGCCAACATTTTGGATGCATCAGGACTAAGTTTCGTGTTCAGATTTATTCAAAATGCTGTCGGATGGCTAGTGGTCCGACTATCGCCCTTTCACTTTCCAGCGACGAGTCCCAATTGGCTGGACTCGGGTATATGGGACTTGGTCCCGGATCCGGTTTCCAGAGAAATGAATGAAAAACAAAGAAAAACAAAATGGAAAAAAAAAAAGAAAAAAAAGAGGAGCGGGCGCGTCAACTCTCTTCTCCTGTGAGACGTCATCAGGATGACCATGAGAATGCGAGCGTACTCACAGTAGGACATTCCTGGAGGTATCTGACCGATATCACGACTTGAAGTGCATGCATCTGACGGCAATCTAGCCCAGAGACGGGTCAAAAAAGTGCCCTGCTACACGTAGTCTTGACTACGCCCTGAGAGATGCAGATAGAACGGTCCCCTGGACGAGCGATTCCGTAGGAAATCCCGAACCTACCGTTACTTGGTCCCCGGTGCCAAGTCCCAGTTACTTGAATGATCGATTTCTGAGCGCAGATTTGGAAGATCAACGACAAGAAATCAAGGATCAGCGTAAGTGGGACTTGGTCCCCGGTCCCTGCTACTTGTCTCTCCCGCGGGACTTGGTCCCCGGTCCCTGTAACTTCGCCGCTCCCGTATGTCGCACACTGCGAGTGTCGCAAGGCGCCGCGAGCGCTGCAGTCCCTTGTCCTTGGACAGGGCCCCGATGCGCACACAGACCTAACGCTAACGCATTCCTGTGTCCCGGGGAAAGCACACCACCTGCGCGGGGAACGGGGCCGTGATTCTCGCGAGGAGGAAGGTGCGGTTTGCTTGCACCAGAGGTGAGCTAGCCACCTCACCTCCATCACTACTTCCTCCACATCGCGCTTTTCTCCTTTCTTCCCCACCCTTCGTAGTGCGACGTCTGTGCGTTTCTCTCCCTCTCCTCCATTATTTCTGACTATGACATTCTTTTATTGTTCTTATTTTTGCTGCTGCTGCTGGTGTCGGGGTGTGTGTGTGTGTGTGTATGTGTGTGTGTGTGTGTGTGAGAGAGAGAGAGAGAGAGAGAGAGAGAGAGAGAGAGAGAGAGAGAGAGAGAGACAGATTACTTCTGTGAGGGAGTTTCATGGGGAAATGTTCTTTTACTACTGTCCAAGTTTTATATGGCCCGTTGCTCGATTTATGGGGGTCATCCGTGACTGCGCAGGGGCCATTCTAATTAAAAAAAAAAAAAAAATTGTCTTTGTACCAGTAGCTCCAGTTTCAACGGATGTTCTGAAGAAGCGGGGAAAAATTCCAATTGAGGTGATCGGAAAAAAAAGTGAGTTGATAAAAAGAAAAAGAAAAAAACGAAAAAGATGATTGGAAAATTGAAAGACGGATGAAAAAAGGGTGATTGCAAAAATCCGGTGATCGGAAGTTTGTGCGGCATTTGCTTCTTTCTTT